AGTGGAATGGCCCGACAATGGCGTATTCGCGAGAGTGATGATGTTCTCACTGGGTATAATTGGAAGATGTCGAGGTTATGAGGAGGCAGTTGGTAGTAGTTGCTCATGATCATCGCACAGTCGACTCAAATTGTACTCAATGTATACTTATACAGACATTTCGGGTCAAAAATATATAATCGTGACAATAGGAAGTCTACTTCAGCACACCTGTTTCACGACCCAGAACCACTAAATTGAAGTTATCCTAGCCAATACATATGTATTGAAGAGTTGGAGTTGTGAAGATTATTAACTGGAGATACCGCCCCATTTTGGCATCGGGTACTTCAGATTTCACCCATATTCAACCAGCCCAGCGAACCTTGCGCTTGCAAGGCGTACTTTTTCCTCTTATAATTCTTGTTCTTGAGACAAGATTCTCGCTTAAACCTTTATCCAATCCTCGATGGTCTAACGGTCATGATTTCCGCTTGTCAATCCCTTTCGGGAACAAGCGCGGGAGACCTGGGTTCGACTCCCAGTCGGGGAGATTTCTTTTTTCTTCTTTCTTTTTTTCCGGCAGCAAAAATGTAATGCGACCGATAGTTTTAGCACTTTAGCTTGATTCCGCTAAATTTTCAATTCTTTTGCTTTGGTGGCTCACAAATTAGGCTGCGTAGGTATAACCGCCTTGATCGGTGCCCGGTTTGCTATATATGACCTATCTCCTTCACATAATTAGACGAAATGACTTCATTTGGCTAATCTGCAACTGACCCGAGTTATTGTGTTTATTCGGATCTGCCATTTATAGACATTTGATGTCTAATCATTGATGAACTTCCCACTCCCCATTAGGTATTCATAAAGTACCGCCCTGCTTGGACGCACTCATCATCTGAACTGACATCCTCTGATGTCTAGATAGCTCTGTCGCTTGAAGGTAGGAAGCTGCAGTACCCTTTCAACCCCGGCAGATGTTCGGAGCCGGCGGCTGTACATCCCGTGAGAATACAAGTTTTGTGGTCAGATTTGCAGTAGAACAGCCCAGGCTTGTTCGGGTATAGAGTTTGATCTCAGTGGGGAACAAAGAGATCCTCGTATTCGAGACCGGGTCACTCAGGATTAAGCTTAAACAAGCATCTTGTTTGGAACAATTAAGCTTCGCTCGGCAGCGATGCGGAGAAACTGGCTGGACCCCTTCTCTACCTCGTAATCAGCATCGTATCCCAGCCCAATCCAACCATGTAGCTGCCATGGTCGTCTGCTGGGGTTATAGTATATCTGAGATCCTCTCCCCCAGTCTACCCAGCCTGAAAAATTCCGCGAAAGCTCTACAAAAGGATAACTATCCCACTAGTAAACCTAGCCATCAAAACCACGACATCAAAATGCCTTTCGGTACCTTCGAGCTCACTGGGGATGCCATCCCTCAATACGCACCACCATATCCCACCGGGGACTGCGACTTCACCGGCTCCACCATACTAGTCATAACCTACCGTACAACCGCACACAGCGTCGCTCCCTTCGTTCCCAGCATGCTTGAACTGGAGGACGAGCCCCTGATCACCGTCCGCCTCCTCCGACACAGCATGACTTCCTTCGGCCCATACAACGAGTACACCCACGGCGTGGACGTGCGCTACCGCGGCGAGAAATATGAGTATTTCCTCTCCCTGATCCTCGACAACGAGTCCCCCGTCCTAGCTGGCCGAGAGCAATACGGCTTCCCCAAGAAGTTCGGCACAGTGGAGTTCAACCCGTCTGAGCCACGTGGGACCCGAGTGATGTGCGGACATGTCGAGCATCCTCCACACCAGAAGATCCTACAGATGAACTATAGTCCCGTTCGAAAGCAGGCGGTCCCGGATGTGGGAATGAAGGTCGAATCACGCTGTATGAATCTACGTGTGTTGCCTTCGCCGATCGCGGGACAGCCTCCGTCGGTGAGGGAGTTGATGCCTCTAGCGCTCAAGATCACGGCGAAGGAGATCTGGGAGGGTGAGGGCTCAGTGTCGTTCCCGGAGCCGTCGGAGGTGGATCCGATGCATCGGATTGAGATTGTGCGGTATGAAAGTGCACATTTCTTGCGGGAGGCTAATCTCTGGCTCGGTCCGACGGGTGAAGTTTACTCTGTTTAGGAATTGCGTGCTACTTCCTTATGTGGGTAATGGGAAGCCGGACCGACATCAGGCATTCACTGGTTCCTTTTCTGATGCAAACACTGTCAACAGCTCACCAGGAAATTTCAATGTGCTACAATTAATTTAAACCACTCCCAGTTATGTTTCTCAAATTGTGTATGCACCAAAGTCTCTATGGCAATGTTACGATATGCATGGAATCAGTGCATTGACCTCTGCAGGTTGATTAAAGTTCTATAGTGTGGCTGCTCTCTAAGCGCGAACTACGAATTCCGCAAGTCAATGCAAGATAATCCTTTTCATTGATATTAAGCGTTGACAAAGTGCCGCAGGTTTGATATTTTATACCCCCTTCAAGGGATAGGTGCATAGTAGCTAAACTTGCCCGTAGGGTCATACTTGGCCTTCAATGACCGCAGACGCTGCTGACGCCATCCCTCGCTACCATACAGCTGCTGGGGCGTCTCATCACCATGGGCATAGTTGACATACGCGCGGATATCCTCCCGATCAGTACCAGCAAAGAGAATGTTGCGCAGCTCCTGGCCCAAGTTAGCCCCGCGGCGATCAAGCTCGGCGCCGTCGGGGAAGTAGTTAATCATGGGAGCAGCCAGCACGTTCTCATTACGGAAGGCGAAAGCGCTCGACCGGCTGTCGATATCATGGACACCGCCAACAGAGTATCCCTCGAACATGAAGATGGAGTTGTTGAACGCCGAGGAGCCGCGGGTAGCATTGGTGTAGACGTCCCATGCCTTCTGCTGGGCAGTGACGTTGTACGTTCCGAGGTAGATCGGGTAACGGGGGTTGGCCATGCCCATCTTCTGGCAGGGAGCGGAGTCAACAGCAACCTCGGTCCAGGCAGCGAGATCCTTGTAAGTGCCGTTGTTGGGAGACACAGAAATGGGTCCAATCTTGCGGAAAGGTGCGGTATAGACGGAATCGACGGTCTTTACTCCCTCCTGGATGATGTAGAAAATGATGACTGGGTTGTTGGGGTCGGCGTCCGCGTTGTTCATCCAGTACGACCAGTTGATCACGCCGGCAGCCTGGGTGCCGTTCTTGACCAGGTAGTCGTTGGCGGCCTGGTAGACCTCAGCAACCTTGTCGCCACTGAAGGTCAGCGTTTCGATGGCCCAATCAGTGTACTCAATGTCATAGACCTTCATCGTGAGGGAAGTGACAATGCCAAAGTTGTGTCCTGCACCCTTAACAGCCCACCAGAGGTCCGAGTTGGCGTCGATGTGGGTCAGGGTGCCGTTGGCCAGGACGATGTTCATCGAAACAAACTGATCCAAAACGAGGCCGTGATGGCCTTGGAGCCAACCATGTCCACCACCAAGAGCAGGGCCGACAAGACTAACACATTCGCAGGTTCCAGTCACGGTTTGCTTTCCTGCGGCCCAAAGCTGGTCGGTGACCTCCTTGGACATGGTACCGCCTCCGATCGTGGCGGTCTTGCCATCGGCTGCAACTTCGACACTGCTCAGCTGGCCCATATAGATAGCGATGCCATGGGTCATTTCTCCGAGGGAGATGAGTGCACCGTGCACACCATTGTAGGTCAGGAAGGGAACATCCTTCTGATTGGCGAATTTCACCTGCAGAATCAATTAGCAACGAAATTAAGTCAAAAGACATGAAAGGCCCAAGGTGAGGTAGAAGGGGAGAAACAGGCGAATCAAGGGATGGCTACAAAGGTTGGAGACATACAATTTCGGCGACATCGTTTTCGGTGCCAGGAACCACGACAACATTAACCTCGGGTTCATCGAGAACGGACCACCGCGTGGTGGCATTTATGAATCCACTCGAGCCCGGGAAATAGACCTGGGAGGTGTTGGAAAGTCTACCCGAGAGACTCTTGAGGTCACTTTCCCAGCTGGAGGAGCGGGGGATTTGCTGTGAGGCCGTGGCGAATGCCCAGGCGGCGATGGCCATGAGCACCTCCATCTTGAGTCGAAACATGGCGCCAGAGAGAGAGAGAGAGTTCCCGATCGGCAATTGAGATGCGATGGGAATAAAAAGTAAAACGATGCAAAAAGCAAAAATTAGAACAAGGGGATCTGGCAAGATGACTGGCCACGCGACCGCCCTTCTGCTGCACGTCGGAGGACCCGGGGAATCCTTGTCAGATGGACTGACCCTGACCCGGCAATTGGGGCACCTCGTTTATTTCTAGTATTCCTTCGCCATGCGAGATTACGGAGCACACTAATAGACTTTGCCGTTACTTTGCAAAGTGAGACAAGTGTCATATGATACTCATGGCGTAGCTCCACTCGATCACTGTCTTGCGGTTTTCCGATCAGAAGTTATGCAGCACCAAAAAGCGCCGCGTGCGGTCCCTGTGCAGTCTCTCGGGCCATCAGCGCTCGCTTGGGGAACCGGTCGGTCCATCCCGTCCCATCTGCTCGGTGTTCAATTGAGTACGTGAGGGAAATATGTGGGTCGAGGCAGTATCGGGGATCGCGGGAAAGCTGGAAGCTCAGAGGGACTAACTCTCTCTAGGGCTTACGGGTGGGCCCAAATAGACTCTGGGGTGGAGCAGGGTCAATATATTCACGCTCCAACTTATTAAAAGAATCGGCCGGTCGCCGTTCAAGAAACCATACCCCCTGGAGTCTCTTGATGTCAATTGGGCCGCAAGAATGTCCGGAGTAGGAAGGAAGCCTGGCAAAACCTTACTTTCGCTGCCAAGGCTCTCCTTTGTGGGAGTAGAAATTTTCAATGGCTGCAGAACTCACGTTTCTGTCTGGGCTACAGGAGGTCTCGCTTTATTTTCGGTCGGGGTGGTAAAAGGCGATAACTCTTCTGGACATTGCAATTACGCCTGCCTGCAGTGCAGGGCGGAGTCCGCCCTTTCAAGATATGTGGACAGTTATCGATTCGAGAGATGAGGCATCAAAAGCAGCCTACAACAGCAATGTCCAGCTATGGACCCTCTACGGGATCGGCTGCGTGGTGACACTACTTAGGACATATTCACAATGCAAAGACCTGGGATGGAGAAGATTGCGCCTTGACGATTATCTGATATGGGTTGCTATTGTAGGCACCAAAACTGACTATTTTTCTTTTTTCCTTTGTATCTGGATCAATGCTAAAACACTCGCTGTCTGTAGGTATTTTACACTGCGCAAGTGGCATTAGCGTATAGTGTCGGAAATGCAGCCCACGGTCTCGCAAACAACAGCATGACAGAGGCTCAGAGAGCTGCATTGGCTCCAGACAGTACGGAATACCGAGAAAGGCCAGTTGTTTCGTACCGATTAAGTAACTGGACGTTAACATAGGTGGACAACAGGATAATTGGCTCCAAGATACAAATTGCCGGTTGGGCCACATATACAGCGTTGATAAGCTCGCTCAAGTTGTCGATGCTAGTGTTCTATACGCGACTTATGGTAAGGCTATTGATGATTATCTATGATTGAGATGATGATTGACCCCTCCACAGGATGGTCTCGGTCGTCGCTATCGCGTGCCAATATGGATTGGATTCGCCCTCGTTATCGGGAGCTTCATCGCCTGCATGATCACGATTCTTGCGGCATGCCGGCCCTTCAACAAGAATTGGCAGATCCATCCTGACCCCGGCAGTAAGTTCGTGCCCCAAGATCCTAGATCCGAAAGTTCGCTCATGGCTACTCTACTAGATTCCTGTCAACCTGCCATTTCCAAGCCGGTGATCGCCGCAACCTTTGCAGCAAATCTCGCCACAGATCCATATCTCGTTTTGATACCAATTCCCATGCTTTGGAAATCCAGCCTAAAGCTCATGAAAAAGATTGCGGTGACAATAGTACTTGGCGCGGGGATCTTTATTCTCGTGTGTGCGACAATCAAGAGTGTTTTTCTGTTGGTGGTAAGGCATTGGCAGCAACCCTTCGCTTGACATACATGCAGAGCCGTGGCTCATTTCTCTCACAGGAACCCAATAATGGAGCATCGATAGCAGACGAATGGGGCACACGAGAGACATTTGTCGCCGTGATCACAACGAATCTCCCTATGATTTTCCACCTGTTCCGAACCTGGCTAGCCCGTGGCTTTGGCAGCGCCTTCCAATCATCTCAGCGAACCTACCAGATACCATCAGGGGGATTCCAGAACACCGGTGGTGGGACAACTCGGAAACGAGGCCGAGGAGGCACCAGCAGCCGGGATCCGATCACTGTCGGCCTGACATTCACCGAGAGTGAAGAACGGATGATGCACGACATTAAGCTGCAGACGCTGGAGCCACACGAAGGCCCCGCAGCTGGTGCTATAATGGTCTCAAACCAGATTGAAGTCACCCATCAGACGCGAAATAGTCATGCCAGGGAACCGCCTGCGCCCGGAGAAGATGGAAATTGGTAGCATTCGGACCGTCAACCGAGAATCCCTCACATAGACTACTTTGGAAATAAGCTTAGAAATGCGTAATCTTCAGTACAAGCGGGGTGCTCTTAATCAAGCAGAAGAGGCTAATTGGTGAGGTTTTTTTGGCCCTAGTGACCGTCGGCGACTTGCAGGCCACTAGCGGGTGAACTCCGGTTTAGCCTCGGAAATGATATCCCGTGGATTCCTCTAATTCCTTCCCCATTGCATCCGCACAGTCCAGAACGGTGCGCCGCCAGAACGTGGCAGTGGACGCACTTTCTGGAAACAGTACTGTGCTCGGTAAAGGGGTTTTATGGTCGTAATGTCGAACAAGCCTTGAGACTGCCTGGTATGTCATTTGTTCAAGAGTGGGCTAAAACATTCCAGGCAACATCATAAAACTCACACAACGCAGCTAGTAGAGCAAAGACGAGTAAGATTCTCGAGTGAAGCAGGGTTGTAAGCTGTAACAACAGGCGTCCCACCAATTTACTGTTGGCTGAATGGTTAAGTCTGGAAAATAGTGAAGAAATCATAAAGTTTGAACTTTTCTCTGAAACGAGCAGTGTTCTAGAAGACAGGCTAATATAAAACACGCTTAATAACAAAGCTTCTGGTGATTCAAAAATGAAGAGTTGTTCATACATTGGACTCGGTAAACTGGAAAAGACAGATCTTGTCTATAGTTCTAAGCTCTTACTGAAACTTCATGCAGTCTAATGATTGGCCACTGGGGACAATGGGGACCATTTCTGTCTCCGCGATTAGCACGTCGAGCAGAGCAACTCCATCACAGCGTAGAAGCCAATCAATGCACTCGGGCAAGTCCTCTTTGAAGAAGCAGCGTTTTCCCTGACAGTTCATGCTGCGCGCGAGTCGAACAAAGTCGGGGTTGTCTTGCCGGGCGTAGCAGGTCCTCCCTCCGTAACTTTCGCGTTGGAGCTGGGTAATCATCCCCTGTTCTTGGTTGTCGAGTATGATGACTTTGACGGTGATACCATGCTGTGATGCAGTCAACAGCTCTGCCATTGTCATACAGAAGGAGGCATCTCCATCTATACAAATTACATCATTGTTAGGCCAAGCAGTCTTCGACCCGATAGCGGCTGGAAGGCCATAGCCCATTGTCCCGAGGCCACCAGACGTGACAAGAAAGCGATCATGCTTCCAGTCATATTGCTTGGCCGTCCACATTTGGTGTTGGCCAACACCAGTAGTGATTGTTACGGGATGTTTCAAAGAAGCCATCTGGCGATTCAGCTCAGTGACTACTTCCTGAGGATGGGGTCGAGGGTTCTTGTGGTCAGATAATGTGGGTGGAAGAGGATACTCTTCCTTCAGCTGCTGTATTAGGCCCAGCCATTCCGCACGCTCTGTCCTTTCCAGTCGCTGGAGGAGAGCGCCCACCGTGTTCGAGAGGTCTCCGAGAATGACGCGAGTGGGAGTAACGAATTTCCCCAAAAAGTCAGGACTAATATCGAAATGGATGATCCCTCCTTTGCCGTCTTTGGCTTTCTCGCGAGCGTAGGGTGCAAAGCCAGATGTTTTGCCAACCGCACGCTCGTCCAGTCTGGCACCCATAACGAGGATGAGATCAGCGTTCTGGATTGCATAGTTGGCACACGCCGTCCCATAGGTCCCGAACATTCCTAGAGAGAGTGGGTCGTCGTGGTCAAAGCACCCTAGTCCATGGAGCGTGGTAGCTGCAGGAATGCAATAATTTTCCACCATCTTCCGCAGCAGCGCCACGCCTTCTTGAGTGGCAAGGGCACCATTCCCGGCGCATATGATTGGACGCCGAGAATCATTGATCAGTTCCGCAACGTGATCTAGTTCTTGCAAGAAATTTGCGGCATTATTGCCGGGGGGTTCGGGACTTGGTGCCAGGTATTTATCTTTCATGTTCTTGTAAGCCTCTAAAGCTTCCTCATCGAACGTTACTTGAGCGATGTCCTTCGGAACTGAAATGAGTACCGGGCCAGGACGGCCCTCCACTGCACGTTGAAAAGCCGAGCGAACAACCATGGGCAATTCCCATACCCTCTGTACAGATGTTGACCACTTCGTACACGTACGTGCTAGTTCATCAATGTTGATTTCCTGGAAAGCCCCCTTGCCTTTGGCAGCTGTGGGAACTTGGCCACAGATCACTACAATGGCCGTTCCATCGAGCAGGGCATCTAGCATAGGTGTAACGGTATTCGAACTCCCGGGTCCTGAAGTCACCATAACCACGCCGGGCTTTTTACTGGTTCGGTAGTAGCCTTCTGCCATATGCCCCGCTCCCTGCTCATGATGTGCAAGTATGAAATCAAATTTTTGGGCTCGGTAGAGGCTGTCCACTAACGGGAGAGACGCGCCGCCGGGGTAGCCAACTGTAATTTTCAGCGACAGTACATTCTAACAATCAACTGAATGGGGAAATACAGATATGCTTCACGCCCTCTCTTCCAAGAAGCTCGCATAAAACATCTCCCCCGGAAAGTCCAACAAAATCGCGGCCATCCATTTGCGTCGAGAGATCAAAAAGTTATCAACTCAAGATGAAGCGCGAGGCTGCTTGTCCGGGCTATTTGCCTTCTGTCTAGCCTGTCTCCTTTTATCAGTGTTCAGGCACTGTAAGACGCGTCATCGATGGCGACTATCTAGCATATGGCGATAAGGAATGGTTCTGTGCTTGGACACGCATGCCTTGGATATGGTTCTATGCCTGCAGTCGACGAACCATGCTCATTTCCTTGTGGAGTAAAATTCCCCAAAGACCTAATAGGAACTTCGTCCAAGAGATACGATACTCTTGGCGGGGAAGATGTGAACCTCATAGTAGTTCTTTCGGGGGGGAGCTTGTGTTGCACAGGAAGCCGGTTGTGAGACCTTATCCTCCCATGGCTGCTCGGAGGAATTTGAAATCCTGACCATGTAACACTATTCCCTGTAAAGCATGAATAGTAATGCCCAGAGTAGTAATACCCATGGATAGTAGTACCCAATAATCTTTAAAGTATAAGAATCTACCCAAAGGTTGTTACACAGCAGCTGGAGGAAAATACTGCCGCCCAGTTCCGCCTTGAGGTAGAACATCTAGCTTAATAGGGTAGTGACATCATCCTATCATAAACTTTCTTTCATAATTGCTTTCAAATATACGACGAAAGCCTAGTTGCACGAGCTACTATCGGGAAACCTTCCGAGCAAGGATCGAGGATACGCATGTGATCGCCATTTACTTGATGTCGTCAAATTAAGGAAACATTCTTGCTAAACCCAGATATCAGACACTGAAAGCAAGGGATTGAGGTATGGCTCTTGGTGGAGCGTATCTGCTAACAAACGTCACATAGTTACCGAATGAAGACAGGTGCATTTGGGACCATATTGGAGTTCCTTGATAACCGGATTGCAAGAATGGGGTAGACTCCTAATGCTATCATCAGATGGATCTTCTCGTACGTGTCTAGGGTAGTACAAGATATTTCAGCTGCGTGTTGCATCACTTGACCGCGAGGGCGCTATCTACTTCCGCTCCCTAATTGGACCAGTGTCGGTACCTGAAAAAGACTGGAGGCAAACTGAGATGTGCCGGATCTATTTTGAACAGGGACGAATTCATACAATAGACGTATCGTCAGTAGTTGTTTTTTGGTTCAACTCCGTTGTTTCTCCAGGTACCGCCATGGCAAACTGCATTTACCAATACTCCGTACTAGGAGCTCTCATGAACGGCATTTGTCAAGATGGAACTACGGCGCAAAACATCCTCAAACATGGTGACCATGGCATCGGCACCATCCGCGGTCTTAATGGCGAGCTGGTGATCATAGACGGGGTAGCGTATCACTTCCCAGCGAACGGACCCCTGCGCCCCGTCGAGGCCACAGACATCATCCCATTCGCAATGACTACCAGGTTCCAGCCCACGCTGACCAGCCACGTTCCGTGCATCTCCATGTCTACTCTGTTTGACTCCCTGTTGCCTGTATTTCCAGATGAGCAGAACGTCTTCCTCTCAATTCGACTTTTTGCCTCCTTCTCGCGGGTCGTCTTTCGCGTGATCCCGGCCCAGTCCAAACCACGGGAAAGCCTTTTAGATCTGGCAAAAAGGCAGGAGATCCGGGAATGCACACGTATACAGGGCACGCTGTTCGGGTTCTGGTCACCCAGGTATACCAGTGGGTTTAGCATCCCAGGATTTCACTTGCATTTGCTGTCCGCGGATCGCACTGTGGGTGGCCATGTTATTGATTTTGATGCGGAGGATGGGCAGCTGGCCGCAGCAGTGGTCAGGAACTACCAGGTGGAGCTTCCTGCTTCGGAGGAATTTCGCGAGGCGCCCTTGAACTGTGTGAAGGAGCAAGATCTGCACGCTGCTGAGGGATCTCCCGCGCCTCGTTAAGCTTGAGTTGACTGTGCTTGAGGGGTTACTGGAAGGGGCAACGGAGTACCTAGATCTTGTCGAGTTCACACCAATCCACGCAATTGTACCTAGCTTATAATGGGGCTTGATAGGCCGGAAGATTCCACCTTGCTATAAGGCAGAGTTGAGCTCTAGAATCAGATGAACGCGTTTATCTGAAGACGTCCTTTCCTATAACCATACCTATTTGCAAGTACAAGACGTAGCGTGAGGAAGCAAGCAATCAGGTATTTAAGCACATTCAGGCAGATCATTGTCACACTCGTATGTTTATGTGGCACCCTCTTACTAGCCTTTTCGTAAACAACAAAACCCCAGTCTAATCGTAGAATGAAAGAGTATTGCGCCTGAGATTTCTTTCCCAATTAACCTGGCAAATATACGCTCCACAAAGCGAACATAATGGCAAGCTGATCAAGATAAGGCCGGGAGGATCCAAGTCGTCACCGATTCACTGGGGATATTTCCGCTCCACTCCTCTCCGCTCTCCGTCGATAGGGTCAGGTAAATATCATCGCTGAACATATTTTCAATGACAACTGTGCGTGTTCCGTCCGGGTTTAAAGAAGCCACCGACTGTAAG